ATAATGGCAATAAGCGTGCTCAAGTGTATTGTTTTTGTGGTTCGTCTTCAGTCGGTCGACATTCGGAGCCCAGTACTCGATGGAATGAACAGGACTCAGAGTTGAGGTCTCGAAAACATACCAACCGCTGACATCATCATATCGATTTAGAGGGCGATCGGGCTGATTAGATACATAATGTTTCTTCCTCTGAACAAAGTAATTTCCAGAGGGCAATCAAATTGCAACCGGTCTCGAGAAATGTTCCCATACCATGTGGATTCGGTGTAGAATGACAAGTTGCATGACGTTATTCCCGCCTGAAACTGTGGTTCCTTGTGGGCACCAAAAAGAATCCGAACGAAACTAGGATCTCATTGGAAGATCAGCAAATACGTTGTATCGTTGCTTAACGATTCGGTGGGAATCTGAGGCGGGCTTACCCGTGAACCTTGACGGGTTTCAGGGTGTTTGCTACGACATAAATTAACGCAAGCCTCGATTGGATCGACCAGCTTCGAAGTTCGGTTCAGCCTGTCAGTACTGTTTGTAGAAACGCAACTTCATAAAGTAGTAACCAACGCACGAGAATTGGAAATCTCCATGACTTCAACATGAGATAGGCTGTCTAGTCCACCGATGAAGCCTGATACCAGCAGACGTGTCATTTCACTGTGTTTTGACGAATTCCTCCGACAGTTCAGTCCCACAGTTGGGCCTGTAGAGGTCACTCATCAGATCACGCGTCAAACACTCAAACCACTTGCAACCGTAGCCGAACACGTGTAGCAGCTATACTGTAGAGAAGACAAGTCCCGCGCCCGGAACTCCACTCAGGAACTCTCAACAAGTGTCTTCAAACAATAAGTCACTTTATGGCTTATTCCATTTTCCGCATTGTATCTATTTTTATCAAGTGCACCTAACTAGTAAGACAGACATTTCTTAGTGCTTGTTATCTTCTGATAATCAACTTAATTACGTCACAACTAGAACACTAACAACTTTAAATCAGTAGCAACTGAGAGGCCGAACATTTTACATCTACCTATAGAAACTTGGGAGGAAGCTTCAGAAGAGTCACCACAGCACTTCTCTGGAGATCATGCCCTGATCCGAGATTATCGTGAACGGCAAATATCCCAGACACCCCAGCTGCTTGGTTCGCAGTGCGGGCACTGATTGCGGTTCTACAGTTTAGTCAAGGGAGTTTGTACGCAACACCGGACAACTTTAACACACCTCCTAGGTGGACGACATACCCAAACGGGTGATTGATTTACATTCTCACTGCTACAGAGACAGGCCGATAGGATATTCAATTCTAAGCTGTTCTGGGGTTAATAGCCTTATGTGGTGCCCGTTTCATTCCTGAACGATGCGCAGTACATGGAACATGCCAACAGACACGTTTGAGTCCGGAGGGACGACCGCCGCGAGCTACTGAACGAGTAGCCACCAGACCGTCCAGTGTAAATGAAAGTCGCATTCGACGACTGAACTGCGAGGTTCACATTGCCCTATCGGGGGGCATTTGGAAGAACTTTCAACTTCACATCATTTTACTTGTATGTTTCCATAAACTACTCACGATGAGGGTATCTCATCCAGCTTTGGGTGCATACACAGAAAAGGAATTATGGTTAAATAGGCTGACGGTGAGTCAGATACAGCGGAGTTCTAGCACACTAGATACCATAATCGTCAAAAGTCTTCAGGAACAGGATGAACTTCCTACGAATCGGGGCCTACTGCTCGAAATCCGTCGTTTCCTGATCTATAACAATGGTACATTCATTGAACCGGCCAATCAGGGTTGTGCACCCACGTATTCACGCTTCCACATTACGTACCTGGCCCTCAAGCACACGTTGCATTTTATGAGCGCAGTTACACTACTCAAGAGTACTATTGAGTGTTACTTTTCGACCAAGTAACGAAAAGAATCTGGTTTCATCAACAATCAATCAATTTATCAGTTGTAAAACCCGTACCATTGGTCCAGCTGCCACAGTTTCGATCACTGGAAAGTGGAAGAGTGCAGGAGATACGACCAAGCCTTGAAGTTCGGGAATTGGGTATCTACACATCGAAGACGATGGCTTCGACACACGAGCTCCACTGACGACGTGACTGATTTATTTAGGCCAGTGTCAAAGACCAGTGGTGAGTTTATTAGTGCACAGGTGACGATAGTACCAGTGCCAAAAACCATTGGTGAGTTGACTCCTCGGTCCCCATCCAGGGAGGCGGCGATTATCGATCCGACTAGGTCTACTGGTTAGTGCATTCGTGCTACGCTGCCAAGCTATACACTGTCCACCTCTCGGTTGCTTCCACTCGGCACAGGTCTGGTCAAAAAGAGCTGTGAGGCAGACGGTCTTCTGGCATGTGGAGTACATGCCCTAACCAGCGTAACCTATGAACGACGAGTAATTCACCTATCGCGGAAGAGTTCCTTCTTCCTAAGGCCATCTGGCGTACCTGAACACTATCAGTCCGATATTCCCACCAGACCCGACCAATAATGCGGAGACAACGATGACCAAACACTGACATTTTCCGCGTGTCCTCTACGCGTAGAGGCTACGTCTCTGATCCATAAAACAATGTGTATCACACTGCCGTGATGTAAACCCTTCCCTTGACAGACCAACTAACTTCACGACGGCGCCATAGGTAGCCGAGGTTGGTAAAATGTGTTTTGGC